AATTATTAATATTTTTATTTAATTTGACGATTGATAATTGTTATTATTAACAATTCATACACTTTTATTTATTAGATTATATAAAATTACTGACTTTTTTTTTATAATAATTATGCGCACTTTTATTCGTAATTATGAGTAACAGGATTAGTACAAAATTGATCAAGTGCCCGCTCGCTTGTTACAAGATGTGCAATAAACTCTGGTGTTTTCCCAAACCAGATTGGATCATCCTCTGCTTGGAGCGCCCTTCTTGCTAGTTCGTGTGCTACGGAATTCCCATTGCGACCAATATGTTGTAGGCAGCAGATGGTGAAAGAGGCCATGACATTTCGACAATCCATTAGAATATGTCCAAGGCTAGAGTTGAAGCAGTAAGTCTCACAATTGATTGCTGTGACGATGCTTGCGCAATCAGTCTCCACAACAACCTTGTTGAGCATAAGGTCTTTCGTCCATTTCAAAACTTTTCGCAGGCTACATGCTTCACTTACCTCAGCCGAGACCAACCCCTGTTCCTTAGACATCATGGTAGATACCACCTCCCCTGATGAGTTGCGAGCCACAGCACCCGAGCCATAAATTTCCTGCTGCGCAGAAATTGCTCCATCGACGTTAATCTTTACAAATCCCGCATCAGGTGGTCTCCATTGCGTTTCACTCCGCCTCTGTACACTGGCAGCCCCTCGCCCTTGTGACAACAAAGAAGCATCATATTTCTTTAGAAAAAAATAGAGCTTTTCGTATGATTTGTTGAGGGTCTACGATCTTGCGCTCCCACAGGGCCTCATTTCTGCAGCACCACAACTTCCAGCACAAGATACAAAAGAGGTTCAGTTTCTCGGAATCCAAAATGACTAGCAAAGCATCAAAGAAGTTTGCAAAGTTGTCTACATGGAGCTCTAAAACTCTAAGAGTTAGAGGGGAACCCAACCACACTGCTCGAGCCACAGGACAAGTCATAAAATAGTGAGCAGCAGTTTCAGTATCCATGTGGCACATTGGGCACTCAAGATCCACAGCTATCCTTTTCTGTCGCAAATTTGCCATAGTAGGAAGAATGTCCCTATATGCACTCCAAACTAGTAGGCGAATTTTCTCTGGAATATTTAGAGACCACAGACGACTTCCTCGAAATGAAGTGGAAGAACTAGAGGGGTCAGTGGGGGGTCTTCGCATTCGGATAGCCTGATGATATCCAGATCGAATTGAGTAATTCCCATCTTGTGTGAAAAGCCATGTCCAGCCATCGTTCCTCCTCATCCAGCTTAATGGTATCGACATTATTAATTGTGCTTCATGGGGGTTGAAATTTTCCATAACCAAGTCTCGCCTCCATGTACAGGTATTCTCATCTATAAGATCACTCACATACATAAGCTCAGATCCCTCTAGTCGCAAGGATTGGATTAGACCATGAGTATCACCAGGAAGCCAAGGGTGGTCCCATATAAGTGTGCTTCGACCGTCACCAATCAATCGTCTATAGCCCTGCTTAAGCAATTCCTTGGAAGACCAGATGCTTCTCCATATCAAACTTGATGTGGGCTTCAGTTCTGAGTTTAAGAAGTCACTGTGGGGAAAGTATCTAGCTTTTAACATTTTTGCTGCTAGTGATTCAGTGTTAACCAGCATCCTCCAACCTTGCTTAGCCAACATTGCAATGTTGAATTCATGAAGAGCCCGAAAACCCAATCCACCATATTTCTTTGGTAAGGCTAGTTTTTTCCACCCCATCCAATGGATTGTGTGAACATCGTCTCCTCCTCCCCACCAATACTTATTCATTATGTTCTCCAACTCCGTGCATAATGTGAGAGGAAGACAAAAGAGCCCCATAATATAGGTAGGGAGAGACTGCAATATTGATTTAATCAGAACTTATCTTCCTGCTCTAGACAAAGTCTGCTCGCGCCACTCATTTATCCGCATCCAAAAGCTCCCTTTCAAATTCGAGAAAGCTGCAGTTCGAGCTCACCCTATATGTGTTGGAAAACCCAAATACTTCCCTGCTTGTTCTAACTCCTTCATCCCCAGTATTCCAAGGATCCACGACCTGGACAGTTGCTGCACATTATTGCTAAAAGTGACAGAGGATTTCTACATATTAACAACCTGTCCCGACGCTAGCTCATAGCCTTTCAAAATACTCAGCAGAGTTTTGGCTTCAGTTTCAGTTGCTCTAAGAAATAGAAAGCTGTCATTCGCAAAGAAAAGATGAGAAACTGTCAGAGCTTGTCCGCAAATTCTTACCCCATGCAGTAGCTTTTGCCTTTCAGCTTCCTTTATCATAGCTGTGAAGCCTTCTGCGCAGAGGATAAACAGATAAGGTGACAATGGGTCCCCTTGGCGCAACCCTCTCGATGGGATCACCCTTTCAAATGACACGTCGTTTAGAAGGACTGCATATTGAACGGATGTAACACATGCCATAATCATCCTTATCCATGCTTTTGCAAAACTAGTTTACTCATGATCTGCTCAAGGTAAGGCCACTCCACTTGATCAAAAGCCTTACTCATATCCAATTTCACTGCTTGCCAACCCTTTTTGCTACGTCTTCTATTACGCATAAAATGTAGGATCTCAAAGGCAATCATAGCATTGTCAGTAATTAATCTATTAGGAAGGAAGGCGCTCTGCTCCATAGAAATAACATGCTGCAGCACCTGCTTAAACCGATTTGCTAGGACTTTAGCCAGGATACGGTAGACAACATTGCATAAACTAATAGGGCGTAGATCAGTCATGCTCTTCGGTCCAGCTCGTTTAGGAATGAGCACAATCTGGGTGAAATTCATATCAGCAGGTAATGCTCCTCCACAGTTGAGAAAACTTAAGCATGGGGCTACCACATCTTCCTTAACAATCTCCCAGAAATTTTGGAAGAAACCAGGTGAAAAACCATCCGGTCCAAGGGCCTTAAAGGGATTCATTTGGAAAAGCACAATAGT